CATTTAAACTTTATAAAAAACTTCACTTGATAAATTAATGAAATGTTTTCTTTTTGTTTTAATCCAGTTCTAAAAACCTTTAAAGTCAGAAAAGTTCTGGTTCTGTTCTCACATCTGACCCATTTGGTTCTGAATCAGATGAGTCTCCAGTGGCTCCGACCCTCTTCGTCCTGACCCCCCTGCAGCCGCCCGGGTCCACGGACCAGCCCGGTCCAAACGTCTGCCTGGCCACCGACTTCCGTCCGAAGGACCAGAACCTGGTTCTGAAAGATGAGGAAGGTTCTGCCACCATCAGTACCACCAACGCTGTTCTGTCAACAACGACCAGAACCTTCTACTTCCCGGCCTTCAGCAACAGAACCATCCAGTCCTGCAGCAGCAGAACCAACGCAGAGCTGGAAGACAACGGTGCCGGTACCAAACGACCCGGTCCAAAGTTCTGATAAACCTGTTCAGTCCTGCAGAGGTTCTGATGATGTCTTTCTGTTTCCACAGATGATGAGAGCGACATAACTTACCCAGGTGAGTCAAGAATACCTGAACTCACCTGGACTCACCTGAACTCACCTGGACTCACCTGAACTCACCTGAACTCACCTGAACTCACCTGGACTCACCTGAACTCACCTGGACTCACCTGGACTCACCTGAACTCACCTGGACTCACCTGGACTCACCTGAACTCACCTGGACTCAACTGGACTCACCTGGACTCACCTGAACTCACCTGGACTCAACTGGACTCACCTGGACTCACCTGAACTCACCTGGACTCACCTGGACTCACCTGGACTCAACTGGACTCACCTGGACTCACCTGAACTCACCTGGACTCAACTGGACTCACCTGGACTCACCTGAACTCACCTGGACTCACCTGACTGAACTCACCTGGACTCACCTGGACTCACCTGGACTCAACTGGACTCACCTGGACTCACCTGACTGAACTCACCTGAACTCACCTGGACTCACCTGAACTCACCTGGACTCACCTGAACTCACCTGAACTCACCTGAACTCACCTGAACTCACCTGGACTCACCTGGACTCACCTGAACTCACCTGGACTCACCTGACTGAACTCACCTGACTGAACTCACCTGGACTCACCTGGACTCACCTGAACTCACCTGGACTCACCTGAACTCACCTGGACTCACCTGGACTCACCTGAACTCACCTGGACTCACCTGGACTCACCTGAACTCACCTGGACTCACCTGAACTCACCTGACTGAACTCACCTGACTGAACTCACCTGGACTCACCTGGACTCACCTGACTGAACTCACCTGACTGAACTCACCTGAACTCACCTGAACTCACCTGAACTCACCTGGACTCACCTGAACTCACCTGAACTCACCTGACTGAACTCACCTGGACTCACCTGGACTCACCTGACTGGACTCACCTGAACTCACCTGAACTCACCTGGACTCACCTGGACTCACCTGAACTCACCTGACTGAACTCACCTGACTGAACTCACCTGAACTCACCTGAACTCACCTGGACACCTGAACTCACCTGAACTCACCTGAACTCACCTGAACTCACCTGACTGAACTCACCTGGACTCACCTGGACTCACCTGACTGGACTCACCTGAACTCACCTGAACTCATCTGAACTCACCTGGACTCACCTGGACTCACCTGGACTCACCTGAACTCACCTGGACTCACCTGAACTCACCTGAACTCACCTGGACTCACCTGAACTCACCTGGACTCACCTGAAGTCACCTGAAGTCACCTGAACTCACCTGGACTCACCTGAACTCACCTGACTGAACTCAACTGGACTCACCTGACTGAACTCACCTGGACTCACCTGAACTCACCTGACTGAACTCACCTGGACTCACCTGGACTCACCTGAACTCACCTGGACTCACCTGAACTCACCTGAACTCACCTGGACTCACCTGGACTCACCTGGACTCACCTGACTGAACTCACCTGGACTCACCTGAACTCACCTGAACTCACCTGACTGAACTCACCTGGACTCACCTGGACTCACCTGAACTCACCTGACTGAACTCACCTGACTGAACTCACCTGACTGAACTCACCTGAACTCACCTGAACTCACCTGAACTCACCTGACTGAACTCACCTGACTGAACTCAACTGAACTCACCTGGACTCACCTGGACTCACCTGACTGAACTCACCTGGACTCACCTGGACTCACCTGACTGAACTCACCTGGACTCACCTGGACTCACCTGACTGGACTCACCTGAACTCACCTGGACTCACCTGGACTCACTTCCTGTCTTGGTCCGGTTCTGTTTTGCAGAAAAAGCCCAGCAGAACTCCTACCTGCTGATGATAAACGGTGTTCGGGTGGTCTTCACTAAGGCGGTGGTCTTCAGCACGGTCTTCACCATCCGAGATGTTCTGTTCTGACGTGAGAGGCTGACTGGATCAGAACCGAGCCTGGAACACTTCAGATGAATTTAGGGTTCAAATCTGAACAAACCGTCAGAGGAAAACATAAAAATATATTTAAATACTTTAAAAC